CACTCTGCTCTGCTTGCTGGAGTTGCCCACAGGTGCTTACAAGCCCTACCAATCAGGCAAACCAAATCCGGGTCCTCTCTTCGCCATGTTGTGAGGAGGTTTTTAGGCGCTGATGCGTGCCTGTGTTCAGTGCCCTGCAGCGCACGCTCTGTTCTGCCTGCCGACAGGAGCTTACCGCCTTACTAAGCAGGCAGACCGAATCCGAGCTTTCTCATTGCCGTATTGTGGGGAGACTTATTGATGTTGATTCGTGCCTGTCTTCGGTGACCTGCAGCACACACTCTGCTAACCGCCTGCAGGTGTTTACCGCCTTACTAATCAGGCAGACCGAATCCAAGCCCTCTCATTGCCATGTTGTGGGTAGGCCTTATTTTTCTCTATTTCTCTATCTCCGGGCATTCCTATTTCTCTTATTTTACTTCTATCTGCCAGCATTCCTATTTCTTTCATTTTACTTCTATACCTCTGTTTATCTTATCCCTGCGGCTTCCCGGTGCCCGCCCTGCAGCGGCTTCCTGGTGCCCCGCACCGCAGCAGCTTCCCGGCTCTGCGTGGCCTTAGCCTGCACTTCTCTTATCTGTGCGGCTTCCCAGCTTCGCGCGCGCTCCATGGTCTCCGCGCCTTTTCGCACCCGCACCATGGCCTCCGCGCTAGCCCCATGCTCCCTATCTACTCGCGCGCCGTGCGCTTTCTCCGCTCGTGCCCCACACGCTCTCTCTGCGCGCAGCGGCTTCCGCGAATCACAGCCTAGCTCACGTTTCCGCTACCGGTTTAGTTTTCAGTCTAAGTTCCCTGGGCTAACCTGACGAATTCCAACCTAGCTTACGTCTCCGCTTTTCAGTTTGGCTTCCCATCTTTTGCTCCCCGGGCTGACTTGACGAATCCCAACCTAGCTTACATCTCCGCTTCGGCCTACCCCCGCGGCTTCATTTTCCCTAGCTTATATTTTTCTCTACCCGGTACATTTCCTAGCTTTCTTCCAACAATATTTCTCTCTCATTTCTCCTGGCTTCTCCCCACAGCCTGTATCCGAGTCTAAGTTTCTTCTAGCTTTCACTTTCACTTTCAACCTTAGATTTCTCCTAGCTTCTCCCCGCAGTCCATATCCGAGTCTTTGTTTCTTTTAGCTTTCACTTTCGCTTTCAATCCTAACTTCTTCCGGCACTTTTTCCGTCCGGCTTTTCCCTAGTCTCTCTCTCCGGTATTTTCCCACTTCTTCCCTCCTAGGTTTCATATCCGAGTCACGGCACCATTATGTTGCTCCCCCATTCGCGGAGGAATGACACAGGACCCTGCACTGTTCTTTTGTCTGCTCGGCCCTTCCTGGGTTTGCTGCTGGTCCTTCCCGGGTTGGCTGCCGACCCCTCCACCTCCGTGGAGGGGCGGCCCCCCCGCCACTTTCCCCGCTTCTGTGGAGGAGTGGCACACCGCTGGCCGGCTCTCTCGGGGGCTGCTCAGGTGTTCCTTCAGATGTTCCTGGTGCATGTTGTCTCTCTCCTCCTTTATAGTCCTTTTCCACCAATCCCAACTCTGCTACCCACATGCCAAGCACGCTGCTCTCCTCCAATCAGGAACAGGATCAGCTCCTGCAGCTTATCAGTCAAATTGGCGAGAGGCAGCTGCGTAGAGGTTGCTTGCTCCCTTTCAGCGCCATATTGTGGGAGAGCAGATGCATAGAATAAGTCTTAATTCGAGTAACTTTGTCTAGTCTCAGTTGCTCCCCACATCCCAGGCCACAGCAGAGAGCTGGATCAGAAGTGGAGCAGCTGGGACTAGAACCCATGCCCATATGGGGGCCGGTTGCACAGGCAGAGGATTAACCTACTGTGCTGCAGTGCCGCCCCCCAACTGGCGTATTTCTATAATTCTATACAAATAACTGTTGATACTTAAAAACTTATAGGGATTACTCAGGGAAAGTAATCATATAATTTAGGAGATATAAAGTTTGTTTAGAGGGCTGGTGTTGTGGTGTAGTGTGTAAAGCTGCTGCCTGGGATGTTGGCATCCCATGTAGGCAGCAATTCATGTCTTGGCTGCTCCACTTCTTTTTTATTTAATAAATGTAAATTTACAAAGTGCAACTTTTGCATTGTTGTGGCTTTTCCCCCATAACCTCCCTTCCACCCGTAGCCCTCCCATCTCCCACTCCCTCTCCCGTCCCACTCTTCATCAAGTTTCATTTTCAATTATCTTTATATACAGGATCAACTTAGTATATACTAAGCAAAGATTTCAACAGGCTGCACCCACACAACCACACAAGATATAGAATACTGTTCAACTAGTAGTTTTATCGTTAATTCTCATGGTACAACACATTAAGGACAGAGATCCTATGTGGGGAGCATGTGCCCAGTGACTCCCGTTGATTTAACAATTGGCACTCTTATTTATGATGTCAGCAATCACCCGAGGCTCTTGCCATGAGCTTTCGAGGCTATGGAAGCCCCTTGAGTTCACCAACTCTGAACTTATTTAGTCAAGGCCATATCGCAGTGGAGGTTCCTTCCTCTCTTCAGAGAAAGGTGCCTCCTTTTTTGATGGCCCATTCTTTCTGCTGGGGTCTTGTTCACCAAGATCTTTCATTCAGGTTGTTTTTGCCACAGTGTCTTGGCTTTCCATGCCCGTGAGACTCTCATGGGCCTTTTAGCCAGATCTGAATGCCTCAAGGGTTGATTTTGAAGCTGGAGTGCTGTTTAGGGCATTTGCTATTCTATGAGTCTGCTGTGTGTCCTGCTTCCCCTGCAGGATCATTCTCTCCCTTTTATTTACATCCTTCATTATTAGACACTGGTCTCATTTCTGAAATCTCTTTGACACTTTATCTTTTTGATCAATTATTTACTTAAACTTATCACTTCAACAAGTGAGATGGCATTGGTACAGGCCTCCTTGATAAGATTGAATTGGAAGCCCCTGGCACATTTCTAGCTCTACCATTGAGGTAAGTCCGAGTGAGCACGTACTGACCTGTATTTCTCCTCCCTCTCTTATTCCCACTCTTATATTTAACAGAGATCACTTTTCTGTTAATTTTAAACGCCTAAGAATAATTGTGTATTAATTACAGAGTTCAACCAATGGTATTAAGTAGAATAAAACAACAACAACAACAAAATACTAAAAGGAATAAAATAGTAAGTTGTTCCTCAATAGTCAAGACAAGGGCTGATCACATCATTGTTTCTCATAGTGTCCATTTCAGTTCAACGGGTTTCCTTTTAGGTGCTCGATTAGTTGTCACAGATCAGGGAGAACATATGATATTTGCCCCTTTGGGACTGGCTTATTTCACTCGGCATGATGTTTTCCAGATTCCTCCATTTTGTTGCAAATGACTGGATTTCATTGTTTTTTACTGTTGTATAGTATTCTATAGAGTACATGTCCCATAATTTCTTTATCCAGTCATCTGTTGATGGGCATTTAGGTTGATTCCATGTCCTAGCTATTGTGAATTGAGCTGCAATAAACATTGAGGTGCAAACAACTCTTTTTTTTTCCAGTGTAATTCCCCTTGGGTAAATTCCAAAGAGTGGGATGGCTGGGTCATGTGGTAGGGCTATATTCAGGTTTCTGAGGACTCTCCAAACTGTCTTCCATAGTGGCTGTACCAGTTTGCATTTCCACCAACAGTGGATTAGTGTCCCTTTTTCCCCACATCCTCACCAGCATCTGTTGTTAGTTGATTTCTGTATGTGAGCCATTCTAACCGGGGTGAGGTGAAACCTCATTGTGGTATTGATTTGCATTTCCCTGATGGCTAGGGATCCTGGGCTGCTCCACTTCTAATCTAGCTCCTTGCTAATGGTCTGGGAAAAGCAGTGGAAGATGGCCCAAGTGTTTGGGCACCTTCCACTCACATGGGAAACCTGAATGAAACTCTTGTCTCCTAGGTTTGGCCTGGCTTAGCCTTGGCTATTGTGATCACTTGGGAAATGAATTTAGGTTTTCTCTGTCTCTGTATTTCCCTCTCTCTCTGTAACTCTGACTTTCAAACTAATAAATGAATCTCTAATAAAACTTCAGTAGAAATTTATTTTAAAAAGTAGAAAATAAAGTTTGTTTAGTGTGATACAGTTGAATTCCTATAGGTGATGTGAGTACCTGATAATTTGGCAATTAAGTCTCAGTGAGAAATGCTAAAAGATGTACAATACTTTTGGCATATATAATCTGACAATAAACATGGGCTACATGAATGAAACATTTCCCCATCAGTCCCCGCCTGTCCAGCCCCACAGTCTCTACAGTCTCAGCTCATATTCCTTTATTCTTAGAAGACTGTATGGACTCCAACTGTTTTCTCTGCCTTTGATGTCTTCATTCTGTAATCCTTAATGTCTACTATTGTCAGATTGAACCTTACTAAAATCTGTTGTAATCTAGTCCTTCCTCCTTGAAAACGTTTCAGGCTCCTACTGTCTACCTAACTCCCTAGCTTTAGGCTTGACACTGCCTGCAGTTTGGTCAAATTTAGCTTTTGAGCCTACCAATAAATCCGAAGACACTTTGATTAAAAGTTCTTACCTTTGCTTGAAATATCTTTTAATTTTTCATTATTTCTGTCAAACTGTCTCCATTCTTCAAGACCTAGTTAACATTACCTCTGTCAGGATGCTCTACATTTTCACTGCTCTAGCAGAAGTGAGCTCACCTTTCTTTTTGCATGCCTATAACACCATTTGTAATAATTCATATGGAGCTTAACCTAAAATAGTGTGCAAGTGAGTGTGCTTGAGTGTTGAGGGTGTACTGTTGCCTCTACTCTGTATTTTCTTTAGGACAGGAAAGCTATTTTATAATAACCTATACCACATAGTCTAAGGTCTTTCATAGCAGAGGTGGTACTCAACAAATATTGACTGAATTGATTTAAAGGAGATTGAACATTATTTTTTGAAAAGAGACCTCAACTGAAACTTGTTTTGGGTAAGTGTGTTGAGGAAGATTAACTACTAAGCTATGAGTTAAACATGCATTCTCCTCTCATATAGGTGGATCCCAGTATCATCCTTCATGCCTCTGTTTCCATTGGAAAGCGGAGTCCCTCCAGCAGTCAAGTGAGCAGCAGGAGTCCAATAGCACTGTCAACCCTGGGGCCTGCCGCCAGTGTGTGGCTGATCACGAAGGTACCTAAGAATGTCTGCTCTTAGTGAGTGACTTCCCATTGCTGGCTGGCTCCCTGTGCTGCTCCAGCAGCTGGTGCTCTCGCGCACATAAGAATAAATCAAAGTGTGGTCCGCTGTTAGTTGTTACAAATGCTTTCACTGCTCTTGGTATTGTCTAATCCCAGAAGCCTCTGTAGATCCCCAAGTGAGCATTTAGTGAACTACAGAAATGATCCCTGAAAGTATAATTTTACAAGTGAGCATTTAGTTCACTTCTAGACATGTTGGTTAACTCTTACCTCCAAGTATATTTAAATTAAGCATAGAACTTATTTATAATCCAGACTCGTCATTTGCATGAGGTTTACATGTCATTTGCTTTTACTCCTTAGTCTTGATTGAGCCTCACCAACTCAGCTTCATTGAGCCTGGTAAGATAGCACCAAGTCGTGACTCACCATATGGGTTTAGCAAAGAAAAAGATTTAAAAGAAACCACTGAGTATAAAATATGAACACAGCCTAACACATTTTATACCTGTGTATTGGCAATATTTAGTTTTTAGAATTTATTATCATACTATTGAGTCTGACTTAAATAAGAACCATACTTTTTAAATATGCATTTGTCTGCATTTATGGTACAGCTAATAAATACCCTTCTAATCGTCCCTTTGCCACCTCATGGTAGATGATATTGCTGCTTCATAGCACCTCTGTGGGTGTGGAGTCACCTAGTCAAGTTTGCTCCTATCCGCTTTGGAGAGAAGGAGAGATTAAAACTGTTTTCTTAGATGACATTTTGGATTGCCTTAACTATTATTCTTTGATTCTCTGAGCATTAAAAGTAAACATATAGAATAATAATTATTATAATATGAAGGCACTACTAAGAGATAATATTTATTTCATGTGACAAAGTAGAATGAGGTTAGATAACCCTGAAATGTGCTTCCAATCCAGAGACCCTATTTGTCCCAGCTGTTTTTACATTGTACTTGTTTCTGATTTAATAACAATACCATCTAGTTTTTGAACATCTGCTATGTGCCAGGCACCTTTTACACATTTGTTATTTCATTTAATCTTAACAGAACTGAGCATGTTTTCATTATATGAGTTAATAAGTAGCAGAGGAAGGATTCTTGCTCTGTTTGCCTTCCAAACTTTAAAGCCTTTTCACTGTGGTATAAAACATGGCTCTGTATTTGGCCAATCTACTAGGCTGATGGAAGAACTTCTCTTAGCACTGTGTGGCAAAAGTCAAGTCACACATGATGCCTGGTTTAGACTTTTCATCTGGTAAGAGTTGGACCGTTTGATAAGGAATGTTCATTCCTAGCTTAATAAACCCATACTTGTCTAAAAGTTTTTCAAAAGTAATAGAAATTTTTACCAGGAATAGAGTGTTGGAGTTAAATCAGAGTTGGGACCCTTTATGTGAGATTAGGAAAGTTACTTATCTACACTACACCACTATAAAATATAGTTAGTCATACCTGCCTTATACAGTTGCTGTGATAATAAAATGAGAATGCAAGTGTGAAGTTCAAACATTGTGTCTGGTATACAGTGCTTAATAAATGGTTGCTAATTTTGCTTACCCTAAGCAGTTCTTATAATTGTATTGACAAGTATGTTCATATGCTTATTAGAATGAAAGTACTTATTATAAATACATTTTTAGAAATGTGTCCGTATGTCATTGTATGTTTCTTTTCCATACAATAAAAACCTGAGAAATAAAAGTTAGATGTTAAAAAGGAAATAATTTTGAGAATCCCTTTAGATTGAACTCCTTCTTTTAGATCTAAAGTCTTTTACAGAGAATTTTACATGCCCTAAGTCCCCAATAGGTACAGATGGATTTCTCAGTGGTTGTTACTTACTTAACAGGTTATGATGATCATGAAGTTATAAAATGGTTAAATGTTATTAAAATAATATTCCCCACTAATTTCCTTGGCAAAGAATCCTAACATTTAAAATAAATGCAATTCCCAAACCACCTTAAAATGCTTAACCCATGATATTTAGACCCAGAGTGAAACTTTAAATTGATACAAAGGTTAAGGATTTGTTTCAATCTTTTCAGTTCACTGAACTTTTTTTTTCCTGTGCATACATATTTCAAGTAAGCTCTGTAGTTATAACTCTGGCAAGTGACACGTGATGGACCCCAAATCACTGCACTGTGAAATATGCACAAAAAAAAAAGACAAATGAAGATATCAAGGTCTGTTTTATTTTGCACTGAACTGTAAAATGCCACCCTTGTCGGACAGAGGATCACTGCATCTGAGCAGGGCTCACTGACTGCTAAGTTGTGGGTAGTGTTTCACTTTCAGCAACTGTTAATATCCAGGGTTATCCAGGCATAATGACCTCACTATTTGTGACACATTGTTGAATTTTCTGGTTCTTTTAACTTATTTAGACCTTTCTCCCCCTCTCTATTCATTGGAAGGCTGGAATGATCCTGAGCAGAGCGATAACTCAGGGCTGTCTTGCTATTGGTCATCCAGTCAGAGTCAGTGCTGCGGAGGGAACATCACTAGAAGGATATAAATTAGTCCTACAGAAAAGGTAATACCTATGAGTTATTTAGCTCAATAATACATGATAATTGTAAGAATTCTGAGCTGTCCAATTGTGATGGTTTCTGGCTTCAATGTTTATTTTTTAATAAGCCCTTCTCTTTTTATTTTTATTTATTTTCAAAGATATATTTGCTAGGAAGGCCAAGTAACAGAGAGAGAGACAGAGAGAGAGAGACAGAGAGAGACAAAGAGACAAAGATCTTTCCACTTGCTCACTCTCAAATGCTTGCAACTGCCAGAGCTATGCCAGGCCAAATCAGGAGCCAGGAACTGCAGGTCTCCCCTGTGGCTGGCAGGGCCCTAAGTACTTTGGACATCATTTGATGCTTTACCAGGCCATTAGCAGGAAGCTAGATTGGAAACAGAGCATCCGGGACTCAGAACTGGCATCATAAGTGGTGACTTAACTTGCTGTGCCAAAACACTGGATCCTAGAATATTTGTTAAGTGTTTAAGTTTGTGTTCATTATATCAATATTAACATAAATCTAAAATAAGCTTGAAAATTCATGCCATTTAGTTTTGAAGTGTTTTAAAAATATTTTAGGATCTGGCACTGTGGCATAGTTGCCTAAGCCACCACCTACAGTGCTGGCATCCCACATAGGCACTGGATAGAGTCCTAGCTGCTCCACTTCTGATCCAGCTCTCTGCTATGGCCCGGGAACGCAGTAGAAGATGGCCCAAGTGCTTGGGCCCTGCATCTGCATGGGAGACCCAGAAGCTCCTGGCTCCCAACTTCAGATTGGCACAGCTCACATTTGGGGAGTGGATGGAAGATCTCTTTCTCTGTCTCTACCTTTTTCTGTAACTCTGCCTATCAAATATATCTTTTTTTAATTTATTTTTTATTTTTTACTTTTTTTTGACAGGCGGAGTTAGTGAGAGAGAGAGAGAGACAGAGAAAAAGGTCTTCCTTCCATTGCTTCACTCCCCAAATGGCCATCACGGCCCGGCACGCTGCGCCAATCTGAAGCCAGGAGCCAGGTGCTTCCTCCTGGTCTCCTATGCAGGTGCAAAGGCCAAGCACTTGGGCCATCCTCCACTGTCTTCCCGGGCCACAACAGAGAGCTAGACTGGAAGAGGAGCAACCGGGACAGAACCGGTGCCCCAACTGGGACTAGAACCTGGGGTGCCACACCACAGGTGGAGGATTAACCTAGTGAGCCATGGCACCTGCCCAAATAAATAAATCTTTAAAAAAATTTTAAAAAGTGAAATGTTGACCTTCAGTATGTACCTGTGTTGTAAACAAGCTGCTGCTTTCCTCTATGATTATCAGAACTCATTTCTTTATATCTGTTTGTAGTTAGAAAAAAATTTCTGTGTGTATTCTTAACCCTTTATCTTATGAATATGAAATATTAAACTGTGAAAGAAAAATTATGAGAACAAAAAAATTGCTGTCTTGTAAGCGACTGTAAATGTTCTCTATTTTTTTCTGACTTGGGAAGCTGCAATCAAACATTTAGAAAATGGATTGCAAAAAATGAACAATGAGAAAGAACATTGATTTATTTTTAATTGTGTGGAAATGTTATTTTCCATATGCTTTCTTTTTCTTGATGGCTCAAGTACTCGGGTCCCTGTCACTCATGTTAAAGACCTGGATTGAATTCCTGGCTCCCAGCTTTGGCCTAGTCCAGCCCTAGCTATTTCAGGCACTGGGGAAATAAACCAGCGCATGGAAGAGTGGTCCCCTCCCCCTCCAAATAAAATGAAAATAAAGAATTAATTGATTAACTATATATATATATAATTAAAATTTTAGAGAACAAAAGCAATTAATAAGAATATTATAGAAATTTCTGCCTCTCCCCAAAATTTGTGAGACAGAGTTAAGTTTGATTAAATATAAAGATGAAGAGATAGTATAGAAAAAGATATTGCAAAAAAAGATATCATGGAGAATTAGGAACCTCAGGCACCTACTTCTGAAATGACTGGAGAATTTTGTTAAGGAATCATATCTTCTGAGCTAAGTCTAAGTTAAAAAAAACCTACAGTATGATGAAGTTAATTATGCATAAATTAACTAATCATGTATTCATTAATATTTAGAAACCTTAAAAAGGTAGGACAAATGAATTAAATTAAGTGTAACAGGATGTTAAACAAGACTTTTCCTCCTGCCTCTGAGTTTTGACAGGAACATCAAAGGTTGGGAATGTGAGCTATCAGGTAATACTGTTTTCTTAGGCAAGGTACTTTCAGATCTGGGAAGAGCACAGAAAGGCAGGAGTCCAAACTGGCTCAGGACACATCCGTTTTATATAAGGGAAAGCAAGAAATACTGGGTGTGTTGAAGTGAGTGCTTGATAACAATATGGATCTTCAGATCCTTATCCTTAGGGATTTTCATTCTGAAGATCTAGCCCCACAGAAGTCCACATGAACAGGTGTTGAAAGTGATTCCAATTATTCCAACTGTGGGGAGGTTGGCTGCATATGGTTTGTGCATGATACTTTTGGAAACAATCAACTAGAATGACAAGAGCAGTCAGAAAAGGAAGGGCCAGATATTTAAAGCTGTGAAATTGGGTTGGGCATCCTGGCACAGTAGATTAATCTCTCACTTAGGATGCCTGCATCTCATATTAGAGTGTGGGTCCCCGTCCAGCTACACTGCTTCCAATCCAGCATCCTGCTAGGGCATCCTAGAAGGAAACAGATGGTGCCTGGAGTGCGTAGGGCCCTGCCATTCACATGGGATACCTAGATGGAATTTGTGGCTCTTGACTTTGAACTGGCCAATGCCAGTTGTTGCAGGTTTTTGGGGAGTGAACCAAATGTCTCTGTGTCCCCCTCCCTTTCTCTCGGTGGCTCTGAATGAATGAATGATTAAATAAATAAATAAATCTTTTACAATGTGGGCTGCAGAGAGGTGCACTGAGCTGGTCAAAACCAAAATGCTAGGTAGTATCCAAACAGGTACTAGAACCCAGAGTGTCTGCCTCTCAGCTCAGCAGATTTCCAGTTAGATTAGATACATATCACACATGTTATTTTGGCTAATTTGAGCATTGAAAATGGAATCACCATTTTAGTCTCTCTGATTATAATTTGAAACATAATCTAAGTGATTTACCATACATTGATCCACACATAAATATTTTCATACAGTTGTGTTCAAATAATCACCAGGGGCTGGTGTCATGGCATAGCAGGTTAAGCTGCCACCTGTTACACCAGCATCTCATGTGGTCTCCAGTTTGAGTCTTGGCTACTTCACTTGCAATCTGGCTTCTTGCTAACATACCTGGGAAAGCAATGGAAGGTGGCCCAGTTCCTTGGGCCCCTGCCACCACCTGGGAGACCTGGATGGAGCTTCTGGCTCATGGCGTCAGCATAGTCCAGCCCCAGTTGTTGCAACCATTTGGGGAGTGAACCAGTGATGGAAGATTTTCTCTCTTTCTCTCTCTGTAAATCTGCCTTTAAAATAAATAAATAAATCTTTTTTAAAAATCACCAAATAATTTGATTTATTTTTGACAGGCAGAGTGGACAGTGAGAGAGAGAGACAGAGAGAAAGGTCTTCCTTTGCTGTTGGTTCACCCTCCAATGGCCACCGCAGCCGGCACACTGCGGCCAGCGCACTGCATTGATCCGAAGCCAGGAGCCAGGTACTTCTGGTCTCCCATGCAGGTGCAGGGCCCAAGCACTTGGGCCATCCTCCTCTGCCTTCCCAGGCCACAGCAGAGAGCTGGCCTGGAAGAGGGGCAACCGGGACAGAATCCAGTGCCCTGACTGGGACTAGAACCCAGGGTGCTGGCGCCACAGGCAGAGGATTAGCCTATTGAGCTGCGGTGCTGGCCCCAAATAATTTGATATTATAATACACTCCCTTACAGTGCTGAAAAAGTTCCACATTTCAACTGTTGGATGAAGAAATTAGGAAACAAAATTGCTGTATTTCAAGGCTGTCAATACCAAGCCTAAAAGTATGCTCCTTAAAAAAAAATAAAAAAACAGTGATTGTCATAATGCTTTAATGGGGGGCCAGCGCCGTGGTGCACTAGGTTAATCCTCTGCCTGTGGCGCTGGCATCCCATATGGGTGCCAGGTTCTAGTCCCAGTTGCCCCTCTTCCAGTCCAGCTCTCTGCTGTGGCCCGGGAAGGCAGTGGAGGATGGCCCAAGTGCTGGGCCCCTGCACCCGCATAGGAGACCAGGAAGAAGCACCTGGCTCCTGGCTTCAGATCTGCTTAGCTCCAGCTGTTGCTGCCATCTGGGGAGTGAACCAACTGAAGGAAGACCTTTCTCTCTGTTTCTCTGTCTCACTGTCTGTAACTCTACTTGTCAAATAAATAAATAAAAATCTTTAAAAAAATAATGCTTTAATGGAAATGTATTGGCTGTGCTAAAATACAGATCATTTTCATGTGTAAGATCTATAATTCAGTGCAACTTTATAGCTAACAGTCAATCCTCATTTTACATAAATTTTTCTAGCATATTTCTTCAAGATAAATAAAATATGAAATGTTGATATAGTTTTTCAAACTATAAGTCACATGAAACTGGCAATTCATGTACTGATATTAACCAGAAAACTCAATTTTATCTTCATTTCAGTTTTCACTTTGTGAATTCGTATCATCTTCTCCCAAGAATAATACAGCAGGAAAGATGTCCACCCAAATGGCAGCTGCTTAAGGGCAGAGAGCATGTATATCCTCAGAACTGATCACAGTTATTAGATAAAGCTATCTTTGAATAAAGAGATCTATAAATAAAATGTCAGAACGCTACTGTCCTAAAAGTTACTATAACCATCGTGAAAAAGTTTTAAATTTAGTATATGGCTCCTTAGGGAATTTAAAAGATCTAAATCTTATGGCTAAAGAACATTAGATTACCCCTCGAGTAATAAAATTTACTCGCATTTGTCAGATTTTATCATGGCTTTAAATCTATTCAAGCTTATATTTGCTTAGAAAAGTTTACTAAGCATATGTATTTTTGTATTTTATATATAAGCCCTTGGA